TTTTAAATAGAACGTACGCCGATTTTAAGACAAATACATACATTCCGAAAACATGCAAGTGAATATATTATGTCAGATTTTCTAGGGTCATTTAAGGCGCATAAAGGATGTATGTTTAGTATGCTTTGCGTGAGAGCAAAAGTATTTGTGTATCATACATAATTCCATCCAAAATTATTTAGTAAAAGTACACGCAAACACGAGATTGATGTGCTCTGAAAAATTAAATTATTTTTTAAGATGTTTATTTTACGTTATTGACTGTATTTATATCTCTACAATATACAACTGGCGTTCGCACTTTGCACCCTCTGGGCTTGAATGTGTAGTATAAGCTTGTTTAGACTTAACCCGCAGTAAGTTTAAAACGCATACAGGGTGCATGTTTAGTATGCATAGCGTATAAACAAAAGCATTGTCGTATTATTGAATACTCCATTCAAAATTTGAAGCTCAATTTAATAGTGTGCTTTGAAAATTCAATTAAAGATGGTGTTTGTTATAATGTTGTTGACTCCATCTCTATAGAATAGACAACTAGCGCTCGCAGCCTCTGGGCTTGAATGGGTGCATATTTAGTATGCCTAGCGTCAACAAAAGCATCGTCACATTTTTGAATACTCGATTCAAAATCCAAAGTCCAATTTAAAAGCGTGCTTTGAAAATTCAATAAAATATGGTGTTTATTATAATGTTATTGACTCCATATCTATACAATAGACAACTGGCGTTCGCAGCCTCTGGGCTTGAATGTGCACTGCAAGCTTGTTTAGGCTTCTCCCGCAGTAAGTTTAAATCCCTTGAACAAAATTGTTTGATCAGTGTTGGGAGCATATTTTTGCGATGACCCGCCGAAAAAGGTGCTGAAGAACTGGCCAGAGAGTTGCATATCATTGGTAGTTCTGTAAACCAGCTGTTCCTTCATGACCAGGTTGCCGTTAATCCATAAGCTAAAGATACCATCATTCTTGCCAACGGTGTTTAGTTTGACGTATTGCTTCACTGTTGTCCACTTGCCCTCATTGAAACTCCAACTTCCACGGTTGAGTGAGCAGTGAGGAACATCGCTACATTCGGAATCCATTTCTGGGTAGGCACATTTAGCACAAAATGATGGGTCTTGTTCCATCATGGGAACATATAAGTAGGCTTCGCCCTCGCCATTCTCGCGCCACATAAGACGTGTTGATGCGCAATTGGTACCATCAGCCATGAATCCACCGCTGCAATCCATGCTACCGATGTACTGTCCTGGTAGTTTGCCACCATGAGTCCATTCAAATCCACTGGGAAAATATACTTGATATTCGTAAGTCGCCTCATCGACACCTCCAAAATCATCCGTAAATTCTGAGCTGTAAAATTGTCCCCCAGTACCTTTTTGGGAAGTGCCATACACCCCAGCTCTCAAGTTGATTTCCATAACACGTTCATCCTTATTAGTAGGATTTACCTTGACGTAGGAATCATTAGGTTTTGATGACACACAATCAGTGCTATCACGATACATGCCGAAGCAGCCTGTGAAAGGGGCCTTGAAAAGTTTATATATATCGGGTGCGTCTCCCTCAGAATAGTCGTTGAAGTTTGGCACACTAAGTGCGACGTTACTCCTCCTACTAGGTGCCGCTATAGTGAAAGACAACAGTTGAGCGGCTACTGCCAAACTAATCAATACACTTTTATTAGTAGTCATTGTGAATTATAAAGATACTTTTTGTTGCATGTTCAATGACGAGTGCCAACATTATATAGTTTGCGTTTCATAGATATTCAGTTCACAAGCTTGGACTTTTGCAGTTCACGCGGTTTGAACTTCTGATGCAGTCATCACTTGTTCACGCAGAGCGCTCTCTCAATTCTCAAATCTCAATAAATATGCCAAAGCGGTCTCGACGAAAAAGATGAGGCTATTTTAGAAAAACAATTTAAAAAAAAGCTTTCTACCGTCTTTGTCTTACGCGAGGCTCGAGCCATCAGGCTCCCGCCGCCCGAGGCCCGATTCCCGAATCCAGGGTTCCCATATTCGCCTAATAACCACAACTGTTCACCCTCGGTGCCTTATACAGTTCACACTCCACAGAGTCACAGTCTCACAGACTACTTCCCACAGTGACCACTGACCATTCACCACACTCAACAGACGACCATACACAGGGTTCAGAAACTTTCAGACTGACTCGGTAATTGTTCTATTTTAAATTTTTATATTTGTGTCGTTTTTTTGGGGGGATGGTGAGAGTTTTTTCAAAACAAAACAAAACATAGTGTTTACACAAGAGGAGAACAAAAACAAAAACTAAAACACTGAAACAGACTATTACAGCTCTATTTGTTTTTACAAAAAAAAAGAGAAGAAAAGAAGCAAAATAACAATTGTGCCAAAGTTCAAATAAATACGAACTGGGTCAATTTTTTTTTTAGGATATTTATGCATTGCAAGCCGCTGACTGCAGTCGCAGTGAGTCTGTACTCTGTCGCACTCAGCAGCGTAATCACTGTGTAATGTCTAATGTGTATGACAGAGTGGAATATTAAGTACTAAAAAAGACAAATATAACTTTTAAGATAAAAAAAGTGAGAACCAATTGAGTTTGTACTCCGTCAATTCCACTGGCAAGGCCCGCAAGAAGGGAGTCATCAGTCAACTGTCAAGGACTCAAGGGACATCAGTTTGTACTCACTCTTATCTCTCTACTACTAGTAGAGAGTAGGCTCCTGGATCCTGGCCCCTGGGACCTGGAGTCTTGGTCTCTGGGTCTCTGGGACTCTCTACAGAGTAGACTGAGACAACTCAGAACTGCCGAGCAGTTCCGACTTCCGAGTGCTGCACTGCTGAGTATGTACCATGTAGCGACTGGCGACTCGCGACTTGATAGGTGCCGACTGCCGACTGCCAACAGATTAGGTACTCCGTCTATTGAGTTCGAATTTCAGGCTAACTCATTCTCTCGCTCGCTACTAGTAGAGAGTACATAGTCCCTAGGGCCGTTTGGCCCGTTGACCCGTGGGCCCGGGCCCCGGAGCCGGGGGCTATTGGCTCTGGGCCCCTAGGGGTTGGCCAACTCTACTACTACTAGTTACTAAGTAGTAGAGCTCTGGGCTCTGGGGAGGTTGGCTAGTAGCCAGTAGGGGCCTCGCTAAAGTATGTCCCAGGGCTCTTGACGGCTGGACCCCTGTCGGCCTGGCCCCCAAGTATGTTATTAGCGAATCTGCACAATTGTCGATCAATTTATGACCCAACACTGCTAGCTATTTTTAATATATTTTTCCCCGATTGAGAGCATATACTGTTGTCTACAAATAACTAGGCAGATCAGACGCTCAGTGAGCTCACAAAAGCTGCTCAATAGCTAATTACAGTTTTACTATAGAGAGTATAGAGTGAATAGACTATAGAGAGAGGACTATAGAGAGAGGACTAATAAGACTAGTGAATACCGAGTAGTGAGTAGTGTCTACTGAGTACCGACTACTGACTACTGACTCAACTGAGTACACTACTGACTAATGACTACTTACTTTACTACTTTCTCTCTACTAGTACATAGTAGTAGACTCCCAGACCCCCCAGTTAGTTAGTGACTGACCAGTGACTAGTGAGTAATGACCACTGTGAATAAGTCTGTGACTAGTCACTTCAGAGTTCAAGTTCAGAGTCCAGACAGCAGAAGTCGGAGTTGAGAAGTTGAAGAATGTCCTTTGTTTTTTTAGAAATCGAGAGCAAAAGTGGAAGTGGGTGAACAAAAGTGATAAATACTTGCTCTATTTTAAAACTAACACACTCCAGTTGGGTAAAACCAATTTTTTTATACTATTTTTCGCAATTCAGTGAAATTGCGAATCTGTGATAGATATTACTTGCAGCAGATTTTGCTTTTATGCTTATTTTGCTCTTTATATGTATCGCTTTGAGTATTGTTTTAAAAACAAAACAAAACAGAGCAAAATAAAGCACCGTTGACATCGGTGGAGAACAAAAAGCTCTGAAGAGAGGGGGAAACAGACATTTTTATTTTTGGGTTTTCGTACCCTTATTTGTTTTGCAAAAGCGCGACCCACTGTTAAACTGCAACTTCCATTTTGGTTCACGTTTGGGTTCCAGATTTCCGATTCCTTTTTGATTGTTGGTTTGGGGTGGGGGGGGAGGGAGTTCGACTGTTCGCTTTCTTTTACGTAAATTTTTAATTTTGGGTTTTCGGGGAAAGTAAAAGTGCAAGTATTCATGTGAAATAAAAATAACCGTATCTCTTCTGCTGGTATCACTTCGTCTTTCTTGTATTTGGCCTTTCTATGTTCATGTACAGGGTCTCAAATGGGCATATAAAGCTTCATATAATTCCTTATTTGGAATAAATAAAGTTCTGAGGGACCTAATAGCTAAAGCTTTTAGTGATAACCTAAAAGTGTAAAGATTGGAAGAATTGATGATCATAACTATTTTTTAAAATCACAAAAAATACTATTTATAATAACACCTAGTGAGCTACTGAGCTTGGGAACATTTTCTTTTGAATGTTCTCGTACTCTTGGGTCAAGTACGTTATAAATAATGTACATGCATACATATGTACGTTGAATTTAGAAGGTATAATATACACATTTCAATATATATATATATATATATATTGTTATTATTTTAAATCAACCAAAAAAACTGCTGGTTTTCAAAATTTTAAAAATATGGTGATAAAATATAAATAAACACATTCTGCATTTTTTTAAACTTCAGTGACACTTGGCGACAAGACAGCAGTGAATAGACAACTGAACAAGAGTCGAACTGTATATCTGATTCTGTAATCTGTATCCCTATTCCCTACTGAGAGTCTGAGACGACTGAGTACGAGTACTGACCAATAAATATAATTCTGGCGTTCTGCTCTTGACTTTCTGCATATTTTTGGTGGTTATTCTATATTTTCTAAAGAGGAACCAATTAAATAAAATTGAAAAATATTCACCGAACATTTTATATATTAAATTTTACACAGGTGGTGAGTTTATACAGTCTAGATACTACAGTCACATTTGTTGTGACCCCAGTGAGGGACGGGGACCGGGGGAGCCATATTCATAAATCAGACAGCAAACTGAAAAATGTGATTGTGTGTACTATTTAACTTATCTATTGAAGAAGGCTATAGAACTATGAAATATTTATTTATGTACTGAGTACTGACCTGTCGGCTGTGGGACTGTCTAATAAATATTATATTTATTCATTTGTTGAATAAAAATAAAATTTTTACATTTTTATTATTGTTACTCTATCGCTGTGTGCCTGTACAAACAGTCGAACACTTCCCTTGTGAAGTTCCGTGGCACCATATTTTTAAAAACAAATTCACATGTCAAGTGTCGATATGTGTCATGTTATATCATGTGTGTGTTTTTTTTCAAAAAGGTTTGAAACTGTAGTGAACTGTGAACTGTGAACTGTGAACTGTGAACTGTGAACTGTGAACTGTGAACTGTGAACTGTGAACTGTGAACTGTGAACTGTGAACTGTGAACTCATTTATATAAAAAAGATGCGTGTGAAAAGTGAAGTGTGGAGTGAAGTCTGTGTGACTGTGTCTATGAGACTAAAAATAACTGAGTGCTGAACAACAATTTTTACAAAAAAATATATGTCTTGCGTAGCTATATCCTCAGGGTCCGGCCGTTCGGGCGACTATTTAGAGTTGACTATTTTATATATATTTTAGATACTGTAGGTCGTATTTATAGGTCCTTCAACCTTCTTGCTGTGTAGAGGTGTAGGTCTGTAGGACTGTAGGACGTAAATACTGCTGAATACGGCTGTAGGGGGCCTCTAGTAGGGCGTGGGGACTGGGGACTGGGGACTGGGAAGTGGGGACTGGGAAGTGAGGAGGCGCCGTAGGCTAAACTTACTGAAGTCTAAAAAGGGGGGGTTTTTTTAGAGTAGACTAGCTTTATATGCATATTTATTGAATTCAACTGCTGTCGCCAACTCGCCACTAATACGAATATGTATTCTGTTTTGTTTTCTAAAAAAAAACTAAAAGACGAAAGTATATTTTACCACGGCGACAATATGGCCTGACTGACTGTTGTGAGTATCAGGCGGTAACGCTGGCTTTCTGAGTACATAGTCTGTACTCTGTAGTCTGTGTGATCGAGTCTGTGTATGTAAATTTGTAAGGTACAGTAGTTCAATAGTTGTAATTTGTGAATGTCAGAATGTGCCTTGTGCGGTTGTACCTGTGTAGTGAGTAGTAACTACTCTCTCTCTGACTCTCTCTCTCTCTAAATACATAGTAGAGAGAGAGAGAGAGACTATTTTTTAAAATATGTAGGGTAAATGTGCAGTGCACTGTGCAGTGCACTGTGCAGTGCGCTGTACTGAGAGTTGACTGTATTTAGTGTGCAGTTGTGCACAGTCTGATTATCTGAGGAATGAGAAAGTCTGAAGTCTGAAGTCTGAACTCTCAACTCTCAACTCTCAACTCTCAACTCTCAACTCTGTAATCTGGTAATATATTTTTTTAAAGATTTTTTTTAAACAAATTTTCATAGCCTTCTGAAAATAGAACAAAACAAAACATAGTGTTTAATTTTCAGAAGGCTCTGAACATTGGTTTGAAAAAATATAAAACATAAAATTTAAAAGTGAAATGTTATATATAAAACACAATAAAAAACACTACACACTTTTTATCCCTATTTTTT